CCCCGCGGGGAAGCCCCTGGGACGCGCCCGTCGGGGGTGGCGGCTGTGGGTGCAGGAGGAGGTTGGCGCCCTGTTCCCTGTCGGCCTCCTTGCAAAAGTGCGCTTACGTAAGGTGGCGGGGGCCCCTAGTTTGTCCCCAGGCCACCAGACGGCTAACGAGGAAAGGCTGGCTCTGGGGCGCAGTGTCCGGAGGGAGAACCGAGTATTCTAGGGAAACCTGAACTTTCTCAGATCTGAATAGAAAAATACAATATCCCCAAAGTTTGGAGGCAGGTGTAGAGGTAGTAATAATACCCAGGAACATTTTTAGAAAATTTTTTTCTAAACGATCCAAGCCGTCGAAGACCGTACCACCTGAATATAGGACCCTTTTCAGATTTCCTGTACCTTCCCTTTATACTACTTTCCAGTAGTCTCCTTGTCTGTCTGTATTTACTGTAAGATTGCGCAGTCTTACCGGTGGGAATTGCCTTTCTTTTAAAATACGGGCATCAGTAATACAGAATAAAAGCTGCTAGTGTTTTCGTCTACAAGAAATTTTAAGGGCGTTTTCCATTCTTTCTGTTGCTCTTATTACGGATTTTTATAATAAAACATGTAATTATAAGAATTTTTGGTAATTATTATTTAATAAGGTTCCCGAACCATTATGAAGGATACTTTTAATTTTTGAAACTTTGCATTGGTGAAGATGTTTTGAATTTCTTGATTTCCATTCGGCCATATTAGTTAATAGCCAAAACCAGAGATTTAAAGACCTTCCCTTGAAAGGCTTTGAAAATGAGTTACTCAGACATTTTCAGCTACATTCTGTCCTGTTTCTTGACAAAATGTTCTTTGTGTGTTTTCTGGCTTTTTGAGACAGGGTCTTTCTCTGTTTCAGGCTGGCCTTAAACTCACTGTGTAACCCCAGGCTGGTCTCAGCCGCCCCCTTGCTGGGATTGCTGGGTGCCACCACACTCAGCTTGACAAGCTAAGAAATACCTATTGTACCTAAGGGGGGGAGGGAAAAAAATGAGATAAACCTGAATCCAAGACTGATGTTTAGTTTTAGTTGTAGAGCTCTGGTAGTTGGGCAAGATTTCATTTTTAATCAATTTGTGTATCTTTAAATTTTTACTAGTTTTTAATGGATTTTTTTCAGTCACTAACTGAACGTGACTGAGTTTGAAAGCCGGTAATTGACTTGTAGGTAGTTACTTAGTACGAAGAATTTAACATTCAAAGTTTTTTCTTGCTCTCTCTGACTACTGCAATGGATACATTGTATAAGAACTTTGGCGTGCTTTTAAGGATTTAATTGTTACATTTGTATGTTCCTACTCCCTTTCTTTGCTCAGAGCAACTTCTCTTGGGTGGAGAGGGACCTAAATACAAAACCAGGAGATTATAAAGCAATTTCCAGAATCCACCTTTCTGCCTTACAGGGAAGAGGCCATTTTCTAGACTAATAAAAAACAAACCTTTTCTTTTACGTTTTTAATCAGCATGTATCCTCATTGTTCTTAACTGCCAAATCAATGAGCTTCATAAACTCTTAACTTTTCTACGCTGTTTTAAATACTACTTGGGATTACCTTTCTTTGCCTTTTTGCATTGTATGTTCTCCCTGGGCAGTCTCTTTTGTGCCTATTACTTTCCATTTACTCTCCTTGTTTTTACCTCCATCCTAGTAGTTCTAGCTTCAGAGCTGCAAATGCAATGTTAAGTTTTGTTTACAAGGGATAGGGGCTTCCTGATTCCTGAGCTCATAAAAATTACTAAACTTGGTATTGGTTCCTAACAGCTTTCTTCACTCATTCCCTCAAAAGATATGAGTAAATTATACCATAGCCTTCCTTATTGTTCAAATCATTGTCTTGTAAAATTGCAGCAGTCTTACTGAGTCCATGTACCATGTATACCATCTTAAGAGTAGTGTACTATTTCATATCTTTGTGCCTTTGTCCCACTATCTAGATTATCCCTTCCCCCTTCAGGATATTACAGCTTTAGTCTTTTCCTTGCCTCCTGAAACTTTTCTTAAATAAATCTCTACACTCAAAGTACTTTGAGCCACTCATTACATTGACAACCCAGGCCAGTGAGTCTATAGGCATGTGAGTCTACTTGTTTCTTGATTAGATCACTTTCAGAAGAACTCTTTTAGCCAGGTGTGATTCATGCTTGTAATCCCAGCACTTTCTTGGAGGCTGAGGCAGGAAGATTGCAAATTCCAGTTCAGCCTGGGCAATTTAGGCCCTATCTCAGAATCAATAAAGAGGGGTAGTGATTTAGTTCAGTGAGAAGACCCTGAGTTCAATTCCCAGTGCTGCAAACATTTTCTCTTGACCACCAGAGTTTCAATAGGAGGAAAAGATAATTCAGGGGGGAGTTAGGCAGGGGACCCTTGGTGGGCCAGATAATTCTACAAAAAAAAAACACCCAAAACTGGACTATTTTTGGATATCCATTCATATTTCTCAGATCTAGAGAATGGCTCCCTGCATAAGCTTTAACATATATAAAAACTCATGATTAAATGGTTCCTTAATGTGTTTAAGGTTCATCAAGATATATAGCACTACTTGCTTTTATATTAGAGGACACAACTGCAGTGACCCCCAAGTTCAGTTAGGTCAATTTAAGAATATGACTGGGTCAGCCTCTGGTACTTATTTGTTGTATGTATCATGAGATAGGCATTCCAAAAATGTCTTTATTAATGCATATAATGCAAAACAAACTTTTGAGTCAAGTTTAAACATTGATTACCCATTGTCTGCTGTTAGAACTGGTATATCTTTGCGTAATCGTGTATTTGTCATTTGACATTTGCTGAAACTAGAATAGGAAAACATTCTGACTTGACATGTGACTCACTGGATTTAGTTTTTATGTGAAATTTTTCTCTAACCCACTTACGATATTTAGTGTCCTGTAAATTGAGAAGAATAAAAAGATTCACATCTGAGAATGGTTTGAACTGAAATCAGTAAATTCTCATTAAAATGTTATGGTTGAACATACATGGCCTGATTAACTTCTAGAGAAATGTATTAAATATTAATAACATACTGCTCCTCCCTA